ACTTGTAGCAATAAATTTATATTTTTTTTGAGGTAACACCTTGTGCAAATATTATGCATCATTGGGTAAGAAGCTATTGTCACATTTTCCAAGTATTGGGAGTAATCGACTGTTATTCGACAGAGCTGAATAACGTCTGCACATGTGCTAGGATTTGTATAGGTAATCACATGATTTCGAGTGCAATTTGGAATAAATTAGCACGAGTAAATTTTTTCAAAGACCAACAAAATTGCATGAGCCCGTAGGGCGAGTGCAATTTGTGGTCTTTGAAAAATTTACAATTGCTTATTTATCCCAAATTGCACGAGAAAAATCATGTGATTCTATATTGATAATATACATGAAAAAATACGAGGTAGCTTATCATAACTATGCAGAAGAAAAGCGCGCGCATCACGTGCAAAAATAATTTATTCAAATCATGCAAGTGACATTGTGCGTTTGGTCAAAACAACCGCGTTCAATCAAAACGATGAAATGAAATTTTCATATCTTTATGGTGCAAAAAAAGTTTAAAGTCCGGCCAAACAGTCTGGTTTGTTACTTTCTCTCCACTGAATGAACCCTCTTCTGCACTGAATTAACTCTCTTCTGCACTGAATTACCTGAAAACTGCATTTATCTAAACCAATCAGAACTGAATAATTTCTTCATGTATATTATTTGGGGCGGAAAACAGATTTTGAGTCACGCTTTGCTTTGTTTTATTTTCCGTTCTAGTGCTTCGAAACATTGTTTGCTTTGCCGCTTTTCTTTTGCGCAACAGCCTCCAAAAACTTTGTACACCCCCTAAATATTTAAAAAATGAATATTCTACTTAAAAAACACTGGAAATAGGAAAATACCTTTCACGACAACAAAATGTCTCGGTTTTAAATGCCAGCCGCTTTTTCCCGCAAATTTTGCCGAATTTTAAACCTGGAGCGCTTGAGCCTGTGTTATGATGAAGCATTTCGTTTTTTAGCTCTCCCCTCTTATGCCACTTCGATTAACGCTTTGTCCATCTGAAACCATAAACCAGCGACGGAGAATTCGAAAATTGCCGAGTACAACGTAGTCTCCCTTGCAGCCGTTATTAGTCTCGTCACGCAACGCTCCTCCCCATCAAAGGGAGGAGCGTTGCGTGACGAGTCTAAAAACGGCTGCGAGGGAGACTAAGTGCAACGTGGTCAAGGAGAATCCTTGTTTACAATAGTTGCCTCATTAGCATAAGCAATTCAGTTTCTGATGGAGCTAAAAATAAATCAGTTCTGAATATCGAAAGGTCAAAGTACGATTAACTCGGCCAATGAATACGAGCCTGAATCATTGAATACTTTTTGTGCAACACGGGTTTAAAAACTCAAAATTTTACATAGAATGTATGAGCTCATTAGCGCTTTTGCCACCCAGAAATTTTGCAGTTTTTGATGGACTATTTCTCCTTGAATATTACACCCAAAGAGCTAAAAATTTCACCATGTACTAAGGTTTTTTAGCTCTTTAGCTGCCTTAAGTCAATTTGTATCTAACATGCTTCCTTCTTTACGCAAAGCCGTATGCAAATGAGCAAAAATGTAAACAATGACGTCAGCATGAATCCGCCTATTTCAACGGTTGCGCCCTTGCTAAAACAAAGAGCAGTCTGTCACTTTACAAAAGTTGACGAGATTAATGAACACCATTGTGCACCCAGTTTGGAACTTTATTTAGATACTACTGATAGCCTGGAGCTATTTAATTCATTATTTTGATGCTTTTAGTAATTATAAACTTATGAATTAGCTATTTAGTGTTCAAGAAAATTAATATAATACACCCAGCGAAACAATTTACAACGAACTAAGAGGAGAACATCGATCCTTCACTGAATTTTGAAATTCATGAAATGATACCTAAATTAATTTCACATTCTACCCTTCTATGTAATTTAAAGATGATTGAAAATATAATTTTGAATTCAATTAAACTTGTTTGATCATAGAATCGATACGTTAGCGTTCAGTTTTATTGAATCCCATTGGTGCGGCATCCTGATTTTGCCAACCTTCCAATCCAGCGACAAATTTCTTTTACCTTTTTCGAAGTCAAGCGTGTTATGACATTTTTCGCCCTGCTATTGACTGTTCCCGACAAGACTCCGACGATATATCGATTTTGGTTCCTAGGGTTTAACACATAAACGCCGGCTCCCGAGCAACCTCCGGCAGCATCGCAGGTATTCATGATGACTGTTCGGTAGCTGGTGCTGTTCGGCTGCCAACCGACGGGACACGACGAATACCACATTGAATTTTCTTGCTTGTCGTTCGGAAAGCAGGCGAAGTGCATTGAGTTGAATGGTAGGAGCTTCTTTATGGAGAAAGCTTTGATGGGGAGATACGACCTCCCATGGGGTCTCTTGAGGGTTAAAATTGCGTAATCTACTTCAGGATTCATGGGGGTTGTGCTGTACCAAGCACGAGGGAGAGAAACCTGTCTAACACGATACCAGGTAAAACGTTGGTTACTCTGAAGAACACCAACGTTCAACGATTTCTTCGGGGCCAGATACTCATTCCCGTTGTGAAAACAATGTGCAGCCGATAAAACGTGCCGGGGCCCAACTAGGATTCCGGAACATGACCCTGCGCGTGGACTTATCTTGACTTTCACCACGGCTCCAAAAGGCAGAACTTGGGATGATGCAGGTCGTACGCGAATTCTATCATCTGAGCCCACGATGCTCTTCCTCTTGTCCTTCTCAAATTCATCAGTGTTTTCTTGTTCAAAAGTACTCTTCTTATTGTCCGCCTTATTCAGGTCAACGGCGTCTGTAACAGAATTGAATGTCAAACATTAGAGGGGAGACATTTGTTTAGAACTAAAATCAGGAGTCTCTCTTCATTGTTTAAGGCAGTAGCATAAATCACAACCTGCTTTATCCTTACGTACCCTGATAATCATTTTCAAAACCTCGGCAAAAGATGAAATTACTTAGAATGAACACGAAAATAATTCTAGAGCATAGCATTTTTTTCTCACCAAACAGCGTTGAATTAACCAGCTCTTTTGATTTCCACTTCAATCCTGATCGTCTTTTATAGGATTTGTTAAGAATAACTTAAACAGGTTTATAAAACACATGCACATTCTACGCCCACGGTTAAAAAAAAATGAAATATTACTATGTCAAAACAGGATAAACGAAACTGAAGCTTCCCTTTTTAAGTGGAGTGAAGAAAGTTTCACAAGTTCTGTTCTAATCAGAAAACTCATTTTCCAAAGTTAGAGCAGTTCTTCTTTATTTCGAATCTTTTAGAAGCTGACAGCAATTGTTGAAAAACCGAATGTCACATTTGTAATAACAGGTTGTCCAAGCCGTATACGAGTACATTTGTAGTGCATTAGCGTATGCTGTATTGTAATTGCGCAATAGTAGGATTTGGGTAAGAAAAACAATTTTTTTTTTTATTATCCAGAAAAATGGATGGAATTTAAACTGACAAAAAAAATAAAAAAACAGATAAGTTTAAATTTTTTACTTCAAACTGAATAGTATGACAGTCAAAAAAATTGAGTGAGCAGTATGTAAACGGTCTCAGTTTTTAAAATTATACAACGATTTGGGACTGACTCTGCAGTAAAGGTTATCAAGCTTATCTTAATGAATTACATTTCTTCTCAGATACACCGACATCGAATGGAACGGTCGCAAAATTATTTTACACAACAAAGTTTGTAAACAAAGTTGTCTGTTTATCTTCACAATTTGAATTAATTGAGTTTATTTTAGGCCAGATATATTTATAACCATTCTGGTCTTAAATAAAGCGGTACGTGATTCCCATTTTCAGCCTCAGTATATTTTAATTGGCTACAAACGTTGAAATAATGAGGAAATTATCTTTTATTGAAACAAATGCGTGGGCAATGTTTTATGAAAAGAATTTGAGGAACAAGTTTTATTAAAACCTTTGGAAGTGATAAGCTTTAAACTGCGACACCCACGAACCAAATTTTGGGATTTCCCAACTAACTACTGACTCACAACAAAATGAATCATTTGTAAGTTTTATAGAGAGTCATACCTGTATGTGCTTCATGATTTTAAATATATATTGCAAGGGAATCACTTTAAAGACAATTTTTTGATATGTCTATCGTATATTTACATAATTCATAGCAAATTTTGTTTTTGTTGAATGCTTTGCAATTGTCTATGAACATCTGGAAAACAGTCACACCGTTTCTGAGTTTTCGCAGGGAGAGTCAAATATCCTCAAGAATAATCTCTGCAACGTTTGAAAGGAACTAAAAAACAAACATACATCCGATTGCGGCCTCTAATCTATAAGCAAAGTTGGAAAAAAGAAATTAAAAACTTTTTCCGCAATTTTATTTGAGTGTTCCGGCTGAAAATCCATTAGGTATTAACAACGTGGGTGACTCAGACCCTGGTAACAATAAAAAAAAAGAGTGAGATCGCTACAAAAGCGTAACTAACATCAAGTGAACATATACATGTTCCTTAAAATGCAATACTGCCAATGTCATGCAGCGTGAACCAAGGTCGTGAAACAAAAGCCACCTTCTATCAGATAAAATATTATCAATCGAGGAAAAACCCCTGAAGATATTTTTTCTATAGTCTGTATCGGGTTTAGATCAGGAATGGAAAAATTTTTCCGTCATAGTCTAAAGTTTATCTCGATGTGCAACTCTTTCATTGTATTTTTGAGTTAGCTTACAAATGATTTAGTATCTATTCCAACGCAATTAAGTCCAATCTTCCATTACAGATTGAATAGATGAACCTCAAGATGTAAAGAAAATCAAACCAGGAAGTTTGATTTTAAATATAGCCTGAGAAAGATTGATTTATTGAGCTGACTTTCACGTACTAATCTCTCTGCATTTAAATTTACCCCCGAACATGCAAATTACTCATTTCCTTTTCTTATGACCGGTCCAAACTTTACCGAAATGCTGCTCAGTTACGTAAGACTTCAGGAAATGGCTCTCTGAAGAATAAGTATAAATACTATGGGTGGGAAATCCTAAAAATTAAGATAGTCCAAATAAATATAAAGGGAAAAAAAAAACTCATTTAAAGAGATCCTTTACATTCAGTATCGCCAAAACTGAACATTTTTTGCCCGCCCCTTTGAGAAGTTAAGAACAAGACTATTTCCGATGATCAGGAAATATTTAGATACTTTTCTAAAACTTTAAGTAGGTAAAGCAAAACATTGCTCAAAGTATACGGTAGAAGAAAAATGGTATGCTTTACTAATTTTGAGGTTGTTTAGCCAATTCTGCGTATATCTGTGTAATGAAGCATTAACGTCTCTACTCAATTTTGTTGCTGCCTTTGTTCTCATTTACAAAAGCGTGAAAAGGTGAAAGGTGTGATAATAAGAATTTTAAATCTGGAAGCCGTTACTGATGTGATTGGTATAAGTAATTATTATGTCACACAAAGTGTAAACATAGACTTAGAATTCCGAATTTCAGTAAGGTGAAAAGGAGTGTAACCCGTGGAATACGCAAAGTAAAGGGAGAGAACCTCTTCTTATCTTTCACGTGCATCTTGAAGTCATTGGATAAATCATAGCTGATTTTCTTACCACCCTGACTGGGTTTAGATCTAAATTAGATCAATTTGAAGTTAGAGTAGGATTTTAAAATTACAATTCGAGTAAGACGTGGAGTATAAGTGTGGGAAAAGCTGAATGAGTGAATTAAAACTTAATCTGCTTGTTACACGATTGTGAACGTAAAGAGGGTAGAAATGATGACAAAATTTTCCTTGCGATAAATAAAATGCAAATTACAAGGATAAACGCTAACCTTATCTACCGTCTTTCCTTATCGAAACACTGATGCCATATGGCAACAGAGAGAGTTCAAATTATTTGTAGTATATTAAGTCTTAATTTCTATGAAAAAACGTTAGCATGGTAGTGGGGATGTTGCTTTTCATTAGGATCTGTCACTAATTCATTGAAATTTCCTAAGCGAAAAGTCCATTACAGCCTAGAATTGTTTATGGTTAAGCAACCATTCGTTGATATGCAGCATTTCTGGCGGCTTTCCTTTCTGAATCGAGGAGTATGCGTACAGCTATGAAGTTTTTCTCTTCTAAGGAGAAACTGACCACACCACTCTTTATATACTGGGATGTGCGCGTCTGATGTGAAATCACCATTATTTCCTGCGAAGTTCAATAAGCGGCTTTTATAATACCTCTACCCGGTTAAAGAATAAGGGGCGGTTACGCCAGTTCAACCAATCATTACAGTAATTTACGGAAAGCGAAGAAAATTTTAATGATCATATGGTTATCAAAAATAATTATTATTCTCTTCGCTCGTTTGTGAAGCAGATAGCTTCAAAAGAAAAATGTAGGCGAGGTTGACAGAGCCTTAACATGTTTCCCTCGTGCGGGATTTAGACAAAATAATGTGGAAAATTAGTTGAGATGAAAACTTTTTTTTTTAACTGACATCTTTATCCTTCACCATTATAATTTCCAAATCACTCTAACACACTTCTGCATATAAATAATATTTCAGTCGTCGGTTGTAACCGACCACCTAAAGCGAAAAAGTAAACAAACATCGTTTCTTCTTAATTGCAGACTGATGTTGTTTGAAAAAAATGCAAAACACCACGTATGATTTTAACCAGCTAACCTTTTGAAAAAATATTAGCCGTCGCTGTAATTAACGATGGCTTCATTTATGTAACTAGCTGAGTTTTAAAGCGAGTGATAAAAAGCCTTCTCGCAGTACTGACATTGAAATGGCTTGTGCGGTGCATGTGTCCTCTTATGTGTGTTTACAGTCAAACTAAGTGAAGCGTACCCCTCAAGATTACATTAATGAATTGATCATTTGGATATTGAACCCGCCAGTCGTTTCAAAAATGCAATAATGAATTGATTATTTGATTATTGAACCCGCTAGCCGTTTCACGAATGCAATAATGAATTGATTATTTGAATATTGAACCCAATAGCCGTATCCGTTTTGAAAAGGGGCCGATCATTGTTCAAATTAGAAGTCCATTTCTGAAGTCCAAAAAGATTGTTCTATTTGACGAGGAATCCTGAAAATAAAAAACTGCACAGTAAAAACACTGCGAAACAGTCGATCGTAAATAGTAACGAAATAAAAAAAAGTCCTGCGACGGCCTCGCCAGTAAACTAGTTTTTCGATCATGAATACGCACAAGAATTTCACAAGTTCGTCAAGATGTAAATAGGCGAAAAAGCTCTCGATAACATTCCATTTACAACATTTACAAGAAGTTCTACACAACACTCGAACTCACCTTTCCCGCCAAGTCTGACGCCATGTTGAAATAGTTCCGATCCATCATCACGTGTTCGCATAATCCAATCAGAAATGGACTTCTGATTTGAGTAATGATCCGCGCCTTTTCAAAACGAATACGGTTCAATATTCAAATAATCAATCCATTATTGCATTCTTGATACGGTTAGCGGGTTCCATGTTCAAACATTCAATTCCTTATTGCGCCCCTGAAACGATTAGCGGGTTCAATATTCAAATAATCAAATCATTAATGTAATCCTGAGGGGTACGCTTCACTTAGTTTGACTGTAAAAGTGGAAGCCAGTGTAAAAACCTTACCACAGATATCACACCTGAATGGTCTCTCTCCCATATGACGGTACACGTGCGCCTTCAGGTTTCCTTTCTGACTAAAACCCTTTGTGAAAAACTCACACTTGTATATGCTGACGTCGGAGTGTGTTCTCATATGGTATGTCAGGTGGGTCAGCTGCTTGAATCCTCGCCCACATTTCTGGCACTTGTGGGGCTCCCGTGAGCGTGTAGCGGTGGATCTTCAGGTCAACTTTCTGGTGAAACCGCTTGCCGCAGAATTCGCAGCTGAATGGCTTGTAATAGGAATGCGTACGCATATGGGTGTGAAGGTTGGAAGCACGGTTGAATGCTTTGTTGCACTGTTGACAGATGTATGGCTTGGACGTTGTGTAGGTGAGCTGGTGACGAGTCAGGTCACCAAGCTGTCTGCAGGCGCGGCCGCACTGTTTGCAGACGTAAGGCTTGTCTCCAGTGTCAATACGTTTGTGCGTGACGAGGGTACTGGAGCGAGTAAATGTTCTGCCACACTCATCACATCTATGCTTGGACCTGGGCTTTTCAGTATCGCTGTTAGTGTACACCATCACGTTTGGCTATTAGTCAGCAGTTGCTGTGTCGGGGAAATTAGCGATGTCTACTGAATCCACAGCTCCTTCGTCATAAGTGTTTACGTCTTTGGCATTCAGTCCATCAGTCTGCTCTCCTGCAAGTGGAATCTCGTTTGACTTCTCCACCTCAGCATCCTTACGTGCAAAAGACCACTTGCCTGTATCGTAGACACTTTCTTCCCCTTTTGGGACATCTCGTGGCTCCTTTTCCCTTTCTGTGAGTGAGTCGCACATTGGAGGCTTAGTATCCCAGTACATGGCCGGGAGGTTGAGCCCAGTTTCCCTCTCTCTACTGTATGAAAAATGCGGAGCCTGGTTGAAGGCAACCGCTGATTGGCTATCCTCGTTTGCGTATGGCGTATCTTGGAACCAATGTTGAAGTATCTCCTCGTTTTCTTGTTTCACTATTGAAGCTCTCTCACGTTTAAACTTTTCAGGGAGGAAAATGGCGTTGTGGTCGAGCAAGGATGGCTGAAACACACCTCTTCTATGGAACATTGGTTTGAAAACAGGGTCGACAGTGTGACAAATGACGGACGTACGGGGATAGTGACATGCAAAGCGTGGTGCTTTTGACTGTGGTAAGGCGAGTGATTTGAATGACGTCCCTGGTAGCCTTTGAAACTCTGTCTCGTGATTTTGAAGTGGTAGCTGTAATGAAGGGTAGAGGTGGCTTGACGTGGCTGGCTCACGATGGTACGTAGAGCCTCGTTGAACGACAGTAAACGCTGATCTGTCAAAAGGCGGTTGCAGTATCTCTGCGCATGCCGCCATTGATTCATCAGGGTTCGAATCGTCTGCGAATAATAATGACGGTATTGATGAGGGATTGGGAAAATGATAGTCTCCCTAGCAGCCCTTTCCGGCGTCGTCACGCAAGCGAAAACTCCCCCACCAGCCGTTGGTGGGGGAGTTTTCGCTTGTGTGATGACGCCGGAAAGGGTTGCAAGGGAGACTATGCAAATGAGAGAACGTGGGAAAAAAAAGTTGGGAGGCGAACATTATTACAGCATTAAAAAAGGAAAAAAGATTTGCACATTTTAGGAATTGCGCAATGATTATTAAAATGAAAGAAGCATGGAATTTCTTGTCTCTTGTTTGCTTTAATTAGTTGCGGCAGAACACAGTAAAACCACTCATTAATTATGAGTTCAATCAGTACTGAATTCAAGAGATTGGTAAATCAGATTGTTCATTGCGAAGTCAAAATGAAAGACGTACAGAGTTAGTTTGCAATTTACAAGGAAGCAGCATCGATAATAAGTTGCGGCCAGAAACTCCAAATAACTTCTATGAAATACCACCGAATTTTTTCAGAATTATCTTTTAAGTTGAAAAATTGGGAGATACTAACCTGCTCAAATTTATTAAACTAATTTGAATTTGCGTCTTAGTCAGATTATAAGAAACCGAAAAGCTACGTATATGTTTCGTAACTTCATTTGGGTTCTGAAAGGGGCTCCAGCTATTTCTTAGTGAAATTTATCCTCTCTTTGAGGTATAAACTCACATAATATCTACAAAAAATGTTTACAACAGTTGTCTACTTTTTTTTGGACAGAATTGAAAATTTCACATACCACGGAAATCTCCACTTTTAGCGAGTGCTTTATTGGCTACCATTAATTTCGACAGCTCGCTGCCTTTTTTAGATAGATAGATAGATAGAGATAGATAGATAGACGTTTATTAAGAAGAATACCCTAATAGCAGCTGGAAGCTAAATTGCAAAGGTGTACAAATTATGTAATAAAACTATACAAACTATACAATAAAATCAAACCTAAAAGGGAACTAATTTACATATACAATTGTAATAAATGTTAGTTAAAATGTCTTGCGCTTGCCGGAATGAAAGTATCTCTGAACCGATTTGTTTTAAAGGAAATTCTAAATGATCAATCAGAACTGCATTGCTCAATAATAATTGAAGCCATTTGTTATCGACGCTCCTTTTACTTCCTATAATGTCAATATACTAAACATTTCTGTTCTATTCGAGAACACACAAAAAAAACAAGTAGCATGGTGGCTTAGAGTTTCAGTACATCATAAAAAGAAAATCGAAACCAATTGAAACCAAGCAACGTGCTTTTTCTCTAAGCACGAAAAGACTCACAATAGAGCAAGAAATTCTTGCGAATAACATTGAAATTAATTCTTCTCTTTTGCAATGGAAGTGACGGACTGAACAACTCAGGCACACAAAAGTAAGCAAAAAACATCAAATTAGTCAGGTTTACTTTCACACGTGATCAGTATGTTTAGCTTGAGCACAATCGGGCTGTAAAAAGAAGAGGTAAATCATTGAAAAGAAAAGAAAACTTTGAATAAGAGTGTTCAACCCGTGTTATGAGTACAAAAGAAGAACGTCTGTAGACTTCAGCTTCAAGAACTTTATTGCCGTAGTTTTTCATCACACTTGATCCTTGAGATCACGTGAGTTACAACTAACTTATCATAACAACCGGGATGCTGTCTTCTTTTTTTTTCGTTGTTGTTGTGTGTGTTTTTTGTTTTGTTTTGTATTTTTCAGTTGGGCTCATTGAATCCACAGTCTAAAATTTAATGAATTCACACAGTAACATGATATAGCTTTCGAGTTTATATCAGTTTTGAAGACTATCTTGACTTGTCGGTGACATTAACTGTATTTTACATCCAATTGTGGTTAAAGTATTAAGTGCAGTTGGCTCGAGGCAGCTGTTTACAGCTCCTTGAAACAACTCAAATAACAAGCAAGACAGGGTGTTACATTTGAGCAGGTGAAACATCAGCGAAGGGGTTCGTTTAACTTATATCTGGTGAATTGTAGTTTTAAAACTCACACATCACACGTGCAAGTAAAATGGGAATTCAAGGAAACGATGCAAGCAGTAAACTGCCACTCATTGTGTAAGGAAAACTTCCCTTCTACCACAGGGCGCAATAATTTCTGTTCTTTTGACTCGCATGGAATTTTGTTAGTGGCCTGAAGCAGGCATGGCACACGCGAGAAGACTTCAATCTCGCATTCTTGCGAAACAAAACTTCAAATCTTTCAGGCAAATTGTGCCAGAGCTGGTTTCCACAATCATTTGAAAATTTATCCGGTTTTAAACTGCCTACTCTGCTTCTTGTATAACTCTGAATATGAAAAATCCCAGTTTTTCTCTACTTCGACTAGGTCAATAGTTGTTTCTGATACAAAAAAACTGAAAATGTGTTTGTGAAAAATACTTGGTTTCTTCACAATGATTTATTTACCTAAAAACCTATTCTCCGCTTTAGTGCAAAGAACTTGAATAGAATTGAAAACAAATTTTGATTTGAGAAGTGACTGCATGTACCATTGAATCGCTGATGTAAGACTGACGAGAAAAGTTGCTCGGTTCTAACACAGTTATTAACGGTATTACACGAAAAGTGAAAATGTATCATGACAGTTTTTGTTCTGGAGACCATTTACCAGCCAAGAGTCAAAGGAAACTAAGAGACTGTGATTCTGTACGATTCTTTTGTGGAGGGTAATGGGTAGATATTGTATTATAACAATGGTATCAATGTATATTTGTTCCAACTATCAATAGAAAGCATTAAAGAGTGTATTCATTTTGAAAAGTTTGGGATAAAAAGTCTGTAATTATTATTTTTTGTACTCGTGAATTTAGATGCAAACTGTAAATTTCAGGCTCAAGCGATAATAAGCTAATAGCCATGATGAAAAATAAAAGGGAATTTTTTTGTTTGATTGAATGAGAGATAGTCATTGAATAGTGTCTTTGAAACTGCCCTCCTCACCAGAAACTCCACCTACAATGCTAGTGATTTCACTCAAAGATAATGCAAATGATAATTACAGAGTCGAATGGAGTCCGTATTTTTTTATCAGTCACTGACTCTCTCTTGGTGAAAAATTTTCGCTCTGACGAAGGGCTAACGCTAGAAATGTCAGCTTTTAAACTCTTTACGGTGGCCAATTTACATTCTCAACTCAGCTGATAAAACCAAATTACATTGTTACCCCCACCGACACAGCACCATAGTTTCTTTACAAACTTACTCCCCTTTATTAGTAACCTCTTCATTTCTAAGTCATAAATTTATCAATGTTCGAATTCTTTAAGTGTCCGCGATCGCCGGAGTGGGCAGAAATTTGACAAGTTCTTTTGTTCTGCGTCTTCTGTTGGCTGCAACCGCACATATGATTCCAAAGCAGTTTTCGCTATCACCTATATAAACTCAAAATACGAAACTGAAAAATCGAGAACTCTGGATATCATGAATGAATATGGTAGTTCTATTATGAGAGACTGATTTCTGGTGCGAGTTTCAAAATCGAAAATGAATGACTGAATCTCGCGGTAAAATATATTGCTTCAGTCAGAAAACGTTTTCCTACACAAAGTCTCGTGTATTTTCTTTACTGTAAATAGTACATTCACGAGATTTCTGACTTTTTATTTTTTCTCTCAACCAGTCATCTCCTTTAAGTAAACGCTTTTCCAATACCAAGGAAAGTCTTTTAAAGGACTGGGTGTAACTCAATTGTTATAAGTTTCGATGCATTTTTAGAGCTGATTTTTAGTGAAAAATCGTAATGTTTTGCAATACTTGTTTGCCCTCGTACAGTTTTCACACCTATACACAGTTGTCCGAATTATTCATGTTAAAACTACTTAATTTTACGTATTATTAGTATTTTTGTAACATGCCAAGCACTTAGGTAAAATAAACTCCTTCCGCCGGTTGTTTTCGGCTACCTAATGACGACCTAGCTCCCAGTCAAGCATCACTAGAGCTTCTCTACGGAAACTGGTCAGTGTAATTAAGTTTCGGCCAGCTAAGTGAGTGCGACCTGAAAGTCTTCACTGGATAAATCATTTACCGTTTATTTAACTTTCTTGCGGCAGTTACGCTGCAGATATTAAAGTTTTAATGAAAAATGTAGGAAAACCATTGCTTTACATCTCGTAAGGACAGCAGTTTGCAAAATC